TGTTTTTGCCAGTAAGATTACATGACATTGTTTTAAACTCTTCATCATTGTCTTTACGCTTTCAGTGCATTATGTAACATGGAGACCAGAGCTGTCAGCTTATATAAGCTTCCACGAAGCCCTCTTAATAACTGTACGTATTTGTTAGGGCAAGAATGGGTAGGAAAAGGCTTGGAGTAAGACAGAGCAGTAGGAAAAGGTTATTTATAAAAAGACAGGATGTGAGTGTTAAGAAAGGTCAAGTGGCCTGGCTACTTCGGGTGAGTTTTTTTAAGGTTAATTTTTTGTCACATACCAACGAGTGTGGACTAATAATTCGTAGACTTTTTAAAATCCTTGTAAATTTAAATTCAAATTGGAATCCGGTGCTGTATTTTAGATTACATCAGCCATGTAGAGGCTAGGAAAACAAATATGTGTATTATCTGTCTCTTCAATGTGCCTTGAGGCAGGTGTAGGGCTCTTGAGCCAGGACGTTGGAGCTACCCTCCACTGACTTAAATCAACCCTGATTGCCTACCATTCCTCATTCCCCAGGTGTTGTATGACCTCTATGGGTTTAACGCTTTCCCAGAAATATGTGTATTATGTCATCTGTTATGATCATGGTCAACAACGCCCTGTGGCCCGGTCTCAGACCGGGAAAATGTTCCAGAAAATTGTTCCAGAAATTAAACAGGAAGATAAAACGTAGTTTATACTGAATATAGGTAGAAGTTTGTAAAATTTGCCTGTCATCTTATGAGACAAAGACAAACAATCCTCCCAGAATGTAAAGCGTTTAATAGGCTTCCGTTTCACATTCAGTGGTAATGGTGGTACAGCAATTATGAGCAAGTGTAACCACAAGGAATATCCCACTGAGGAAAGAGTGATGATCGATGACAACAACGTTCGATTTCTTATGTTATTCCAGTGCGTGTCCCCCCCCCCCCCCGACATTAACGAGAACACCTTTCAGCTGCTATTCCAGAGACATATTTTCCTTCCTCTATAAATGAATAAAGTTATTTTAGGTTTGGGTAGGTTCAGTAAACATTAAGCTAAATTTGCATAATTTAATCAAGAGAATGAATAATATAACTTGTCTTCCAGCTTATAAATACCGAGCATGTGGTTCCCAACGTTGATGTGTTTCCGTTGCCAGTCATCACCCGCACATTTATGTAATGCGCTTATTAGAGATTAAACATATTTAAATTTTAAGTTAAGGCCACAGTAAAGTACTTTACTAACCTACCTAGCCTAATAACTAATTTTGGTCATGTTGAGATCGTGCAGAAATTGACGCATTACAAGAAGTTGAAAATCAAGTATTATATTTAAAAGCTGGATAAGTATATGAGGAAGATTTTTTATTTCATGAGAACGTTTAACCCGTAGGGATCATACTTTAAAATTAAGAATAGGACAAGAGAGAACAACATTCCATGATTTACATTATTATTATTATATTCGTAGGGAAGCGTTAAACTCGTAGGGGATCATACAGCTCCTGGTGAATGGGAGGTACTCCGAGTTGAAGTAAAGAATGGAAGGGTAACTCATATTCCTTGGACCAAGAGCCCTTCAGCAATATGAAGGTGCCACCTCTCCTCCCTTGAAGGGATGGTTTCACCTTGGTAACCAAGATTCTTAATTATATTAATATCATAAGAGATAAGATGTGATCTGAGTTACGGCTGGTCCTTTTTAGATTACACGAGCCTTGTTCAAGGAGGAGGGGAGAATGTTGTGATGCAAGTGAAAGGCTATTGATCTGAAAAATTAGAGCTACCTTCCCCTTCCTTGGATCAAACTTTATTATATTCCCCATTCCTATTATTATTAATATTATTAAGACCCCATTAATAATAATAATAATAATAATAATAATAATAATAATAATAATAATAATAATACCCCATTAATAACTTTGATAATGTAATTACATGAACAGAAAATGCAAATTATTATATTTAGAGGTTGTACAGCTATTAGCGAATGAGAGGGAATCAAGATGTATCCACGAAAGGGGCGGATAGGTCAAATTCTTTGGATCAAAAGCCCTTTACCGGCATGAAGGTGCCCCCATCCTCGACGGTAATGAGAGTATTATCAGTGTATCAGTTTAGCAACATGAGGTTCTGCACCTCACAAATTGTTTGCGATAAGAACTGTTGAAGAATTGCACTTTTTTGCAACGTTTTAGAATCTTTATTGTGGAAGCGTTTCACCAAGTGGTCTCAGTCCGGTACAAAGATGAATGATAGAAGACGAGAAGCCACTTGCTGACGAAACGTTTCCGTAATAAAGATTCCGAAACGCTGCAAAAATGTCAAATTCTTCAACTTGTTGGTTTTCAAAGCCATTTACATCAGATAAGAACTGTGATCCTAATATTTTTTTTATATATGATACGCACTGTGGCAGCTACTGCTGGTTACAATTATAATGCCGTAGCCGAAACAATTTACAACTTACATACCGAACATGAAACTGGCGACGTTTCAGCCTGTTATGGAGGACCATTATCATAATGCAATTTGTTAATATTCAAGGGCGGATCAAAACATCATCCTCTACTCATTTCCAATTTCTATGTTATGAACTGGTGGTATTATCAACACTAACAGTGGCTCAGTTTCACAATTTTGTCTTAAATATTATTCCTACACTAATAGGCTAGTAAAATATTATTCCTAACACTAATAGGTTATTAACAAGCAAACCTAGCTGCAAGGAGAAGCCTACTGGCTCACGCCCAAGTCTAACAAAACAATCCCTAGATTCAATATGAAGAGCTATGATGGCTCATGGCCCAACTCGTCAATATACGAAAATTAAAGTTTGTTAAAAGGGTGGTAAATAAACCTTAATATAGACCTACAGCTAAATAGTCTTTTTTTTCCTGCAGAATAAATTCCACTGTCTTATCTCGAATAGACTTGGTCTATATTAGTTATCAGTGATCGCGTTATTGACCTCTCTTGTCTCTTTCCCAACATTAACTTGAAATTCTTAATTCTGTTCATCCGATTTTGGTTTTGGCATTGACCTGACAAGCTGCTTTAGCTTCTTTAACCAGTTTCATTTTTATAACATTAATGATCTTGAACAAACAAAACAAACATTTATCGTACTCTAATCATTGCCTTCATATATTTCATTTTTTTATAAACTTTCTTTGTTGCTATTAGCTTGCAATGTCCTCATTTTGATATGCTAGAAACTCTTATCTTCCCTCCTGATAAAGGTAATGCGGGTGTTGCCCTTGATCACAAGGACTAACTACCTTGTGAAGGGCGAGATTTTGTTTACTGGTTTTCGCATCTTTATTGTATAAAAGAGACCACTCACTAAGGACTCTAACCTCTATTCCCTGAAGAATTAGATACACATGGAACACCTGGGTATCTTCATTTGAAGATGTTTTCCCCAAACAGTGGCTTTATCAATTCAATATTAGAGATGATATGCGAAGATACTGGAAGATGAGGCAATCAGTTCCATGACCTGGAGGCCGTTGTTCAGTACCTTATTTTTGACGAATATGAAATGTAGGCAGGAAGCCGGACCCCTATAACTAGTCAGAGGAGGTGCAACAGTTTAAAATCACATTACAGGTAGGTAGGACTCGCTAGTGAAGTAGGTCGTGCACAAGAGTTGGGCCAGCTGAGTAAATAAGATTATAGGGCATATTCTCTGTACCTAGATCCCATTGTGTTGCTGTGTCAGACAAATATCATTACAATAATGGTATACAATATCGGTAAGCTGAGGAATTACACAAGTGTCACACCTGGGTATTGTCACAGCGATCAAGTGTTGTACATGTGTCTAATTCCTCATCTTAACGGTACTGTGTACCATTATTTGTAAATGATACTCTATACCCGTCTGGACTCATGTTAATAATTCAGTTTTATTTGCTACCTCTATTATTTTATGATCTTCCTTAAATTATCAACAGGCGTTCCGAATTCGAGCACGGAGTCCGGGCCGCCTGAGGTTTTTACCAACTGTTTTATTTAATTCCCTACGAAACCTAAAACACTAGGCCAAAAGGTCATAACAAACTTCCCCATAATTTCTAATTACTGCTAAAGAAAATCCTTATTCGTTAATAACTAGAAGACTGTACCTAATGCAAATCTCTCTCTTAATGCTATTTATCTGGATATAGATTCTAACTCCTTTTCCTTCTATGGTAACTACTATTCTCAAAATTTTCATGTTTTTATTTGATATCCTTTGTCCCCAGGAATACTGAGAAATGTTCTACTGTCCATTGTTGGTGTATATCCTCTTTATTGTTAGTTTATTCGTCCATGGAAAATCTCTAAAATCTGCTAGGTTACGACATTCATGTAACAGGAAATCAACCTGGATAATCACCAGCAGCAGCAGCATCACGACCATCTCCAGTGACTGCACCGTCTTTCATAACACCAGTGATAGCACCATCACTAACTACTACCACTGTCACCACCATCGCTCACTTCACCATTACCACTCCCGCCACGACCGTTATCCCAACCTACGTCATAACCACCGAACTACACAACACTTTTTATTTTTCTACTGCCGAACCCTAAACCTTGAAAATTATCGACTGGTAACTGGAGATACAGATAAATATAATGCAGATAAGAGATAACCAGAGTTGTCCTGAGCTGCCTATTTGGCTATGCTTCGTCCCAGTCGCCATAGCCCAAGAGTTGTGGGGAACTTCGCGCACCAGAAAGATAGTGTGTTGCTGTGGGGAGTTCTGAGCATCGCAAGAACTGTATCTGCTGCTGTGTGGAAAGTGCTGAGAATCAAAAGTTATGAGTAGTTCTGAGAACCACAAGAACTAGTGTACTACTGTGAGAAGTTTTGAGCAAAAAAATTGTTTGCGATTGAAGGGTTCGATTCTCAGCCCCTGGCTCTTCCTCTTTACCTGTGACCTGGCTCTCTCACTCCTAGCAGTTGTGTACTGTAGTTAAGAGGTCGAAGCACATCCAGAATTGACTGAACGTGTTAGTGAATTTCCAGAACAACATAACTCCAGAAAATCGGTGTTTCCATTAGTAAAAACTCAACAGAAGAGCCTGGACTGAGTACTCGAATTTTTTAATGTGCTTATAGGAAACATTGTTTGTCACAACTGGAATTTAAATTAGTGAGCACAAACATGATGCAAAGTATGGAGAAAAAGTTAATAAAATATGTGCAGAACAGAGATAAACCAAGTTATTAAAAACCTTCACTGTGAAAGTCTTGATTTTAGGAACAAGGTTTCGCTAACAGCCTACACAGTCAAATATAAGATTAATTAGCTACATAAACAACACCATGGAGGAACGGGTAAGTACAAATCCAATTGTTTGGTAAAACTCTTTTGTTGCAAACTGTTATGAACACACTGACAACTGGTAACTAACACACAACATGCACAGTTGCTTCGGCCATTTCTGTAATTTTAAACGTTCTTGTAAGCTGCCATTTCTGAAAGGGCACTAACTGCACCTTCTCTCCATTTCTTAATCAAGGATATCTGCTCATCTCTTACCTTCAATGAAAAACTTCTAGCTTGTTTCCCACATTATTATTATTAACCATATTATCATTATTATCTTTATGTGGAAGCGCTAAATCCGCATGGATTATACAGTACCCGGGGAAGGGGAATGAAAGGCAATTAGATTTGATCTAAAGAAGTGGAGAGAGCTCCAGTTCCTTGGGACAAGCACCTCCCTTCAGTGACTCCAATGTCCCGATATTTGCCTAAGCTAAAAACTGCCTTGGTTTTGTACAATGTTTATGTACTGCTGATGGCTGCTTCTAAACATTTTCTTCTGAACTTATTTATTCCTTGATAATGAATTTAGCAACCGTGCTATTTCATAAAGTAGAATGTTTGTCTCCGTGGGTGACACGAGCATTGTTGATATTGAGAGTTCTCCAAGCATATTAGTATTCTTTTATTATAGTGTTTATGCAGATAACTTGCACTTTGGAGAGGAAACTTATGACTACACTTTGGTCCAAGTCACAACTGAACGAGAATAAGGAAGAGAAGGCCCGAAGACAGAACAGGAGGAGGGAGGGGAGAGAAAGGAGTTGTAGCAACAACTTTTTATTCTTTCTGATATTTATATTGTGTGAGGTCTCTCCTATGTATTGTCTATCACATCCTGCAAAAGGAATGAAGCAGACTCTGGCACTGAGGTTCCTTTCACCGTTGTATCTTAATTTGGTGATATGTAGTGTGGTTTTTGAAGTGATGATTGTGACTTTACGGGCATGTCTCTTATATGCCACGTCTGTCAGACTTTCCGTTATCTTTGAGGGCGTACAAAGTAATTTCTGGGCACATCTGCAATCTAGGATCAAGCTAGAGCTAGTGCTCTAGTTTAATTAATTTAGACGTCCACAAACATGTTGTCCTTTCCTTCTTCGATTCTAAACTGGATATATGATTAAATAGAGTCTAGGTTGCTTATATGTACCGCAGCCACGTGAACGTGATGGTTGCAGTGAAGATGCTGGAGAACTGATCTGCCTCCAAAACTACATACAGAGGCTAAGTAGGACTGCGCTGAAGGGTGATCCAAAAGCTGTGCCGAATCTGTCTGTAAAAAGCATGGTTAAAAAACATAGCTGGTGCAAGGGTCGTGTAGTTCCATATTTGGTCTCATCTTCAGTAACTATGCCAAGGCTTGATGTGTAGGAGCGCTGGTGACGTCGAGGTCACCTTTTTGACACGCAAGACCTTGACAGAGTGCCGCAATGCTTGACAGTGTCACACGTCTTGATACAGTGCCACAAAAGGTCTTGACATAGTGCCACACAAGGTCTTGATATAATGCCAAACAATATCTTGATACGGTGCCAAACAAAATCTTAACAGTGCCACAAAAGGTCCTGACAGTGCCACAAGGCCTCAACAATGCTCGTCAAGATCTTGACAGTGCCACAAGAAGTCTTGCCACTGTCCCAAAAGAAGTCTTGAAAGTGCCATAAGATGTCTTGGCACAGTGCCATACAAGATCCTGACACATTGCTACACAAATTCTTGCCACAGTGTCACACAAGATCGTTCCACAGTGTCCACACCAGATCTTGTCAGTGTCACACAAGATCTTGTCACAGTGTCACACAACATCTTGTCACAGTGCTAACACAAATTTTTGACAGTGCCACACTAAATCCTGACACACTGCCACATAAGGTCTTGACTGATAAACGAAACACCTAGTATCAGCCGAGACAAAAAACAGCAGAAAATTCATGAACCAAATGCGGCGGGTGACGCAATTAAAAAAAAGTCTACCACAGTTACTGCCTGCTCTCAAATCTACATTTCGTCTCAGCCGCATTATCATCATCAATGTTACATTAATATCATCGACACCATGCCCAGCCCTTCTAGGGCAGGGTAGGTGCCTGAGCCAGAACTTGCAGCTCACAAGACTGTCATTCCCATTAGCCCCCTTGGGTTGGGATGGCAGACCAGAGAGACCTAGCTTGTGGCTAGGCCTGGGGACAGTTGGTCCCAAGATGAGGAGGTACGTGTGGCCTCCTCCCAAAGGAGACTTAGGTCTCAGATACTCCCAAATGTAAAGCTTTTAATAGGTTTTCCGTTTCACATTCATTTGGTTAATGGGGGGTACAGAATTTAACCCAAGGGGAAAACCACAGGAATATCCCACTGGGGAAAAGGGAGTGATATCAAATGACAACAACGTTGGGTTTCTTATGATTCCAGTGCGTGTCCCCCCCCCCCCCCCCGACATTAACGAAACCCCCTTTTCAGCTGCTATTCCAGAGACATTTTTTTTCCCCCCTAAAATAAAAAAGTTTTTTTTGGGTTTTTGGGTGGGTTTTCAAAAAACTTTAAAGCAAAATTTGCATAATTTAATAAAGAAAAATGAAAAATAAACTTGTCTTCCAGTTTAAAAAAAATTACCGGGGCAGGGGTTTCCCCCAACGTTGGGTTTCCGTTGCCGGGTCATAACCCGCACTTTTTTATGTAATGCGCTTTTAGAGATTAAAAATTTTTAAAATTTTAAATTTAAAGGGGCCAAAAAAGTAAAGTACTTTCCAAACCTACCTAGCCTAAAAAAACTAATTTTGGCCCATGTTGAGATCGTGCGGGAAATTGACCCATTAAAAGAAGTTAAAAATTTAAAAGTATTATTTTTAAAAAGCGGGAAAAGGGTATATGAGGAAGATTTTTTATTTCATGAAAAATTTTAAAAACCCGTGGGGATCATATTTTAAAATTTTAAATAGGAAAAGAAGAAAAACATTCCATAAATTTAAAATTATTATTATTATATTCGGGGGGAAGCGTTAAACCGTGGGGGATCATACAGCCCCCTTTGGGAAAAATTAAAAAAAGGTCCCTTCCAAAAAATTAAAATTAAAAATTTTAATAATTTCCCTAATTCCCTTCCCCCCCCCCCCAAACCCCTTTCCCCAGGCCCCAAAAAAGTTTGCCGACCCTCCTCCCAGAAGGGTTGGTTTCCTTTTTGGAACCCAAGTTTTCCCCTTAATTATTTTAAATTTATCAAAGCGAAAAGTTTTGATCGGTTGGGTGGTCCTTTTTAGATTACCCCGACCCCTTTTCCCCCCCCAAGGGGAGGGGGGAAAAATGTTGTGATGCAAGTGAAATAGCCATCTGAAAAATTAAGCTCCCTTCCCCTTCCTTGGATCAACTTTTTTATACCCCCCAAATTCCTTTATTTTTAAATTATTTTTAAGCCCCCATTAATAAATAAAAATTAATAATAAAAAAATAAAAATTTAATAATAATAAAATTTAACCCCTTAAAAACTTTGAAAATTTTAAATTTTAAAATGAACAAAAAAATCAAATTATTTTTTTGGGAGGTTGTACAGCTTTTTAGCAAAGGGGGGGGAATCAAGGGGTTCCCCACAAAAGGGGGGGAAATAGGTAAAATTTCTTTTGGATCAAAACCCCTTACCGGGAAAAAGGGGTGCCCCCCCCCCTCGAGGGTAATAAAGGGGTTTTATAAAGTGAATCTTTTAGCAACATGAGGTTTTTGCCCCTCACAAATTTTTTTGCGATAAGAAGGGTTGAAAAAATTCCCCTTTTTTTTGCAACGTTTTAGAACCCTTTATTGTGGAAGCTTTTTCCCCAAAGGGGTCTCCCCCCGGTAAAAAGTTTAAATGATAGAAGACGAGAAGCCCTTGCGAAAAAACTTTTCCCGTAATAAAGTTTCCCAAAACGCTGAAAAAATGTAAAAATTTCCTTCAACTTTTTGGTTTTCAAAGCCTTTTTACATCAGAAAAGGGAATGTAAACCTAAATTTTTTTTATATTTTGATACGCACTGTGGCGCAAACTGCTTTAAAATTTAAAATTGCCGTAGCCAAAAAACAATTTACAATTTAAACATACCAACGGGAAAACTGGCGACTTTTCAGCCTGTTATGGAGGCCATTACATAATGCAATTTTTTAAATTTTTAAAAGGGGCGGATAAAAACTTTTCACCCTCTACTCTTTTCCAAATTTTTCTATTTATAAAACTGGGGTTTTTTTCCCAACATTTCAGGGGCTCGGGTTTCACTTTTTTTCCCTTAAATTTTTTTCCCTACACTAATAGGCTAGTAAAATTTTAAATTCCTAACACTAATGGGTTTAATTAAAAAAAAACCCTAGCGGGCAAGGAAAAACCCTACTGGCTCACCCCCAAAAGCCCTAAAAAAAACAATCCCTAGATTAAATTTTAAAGGCTATGATGGCTCAGGGCCCCAAAAACTGGGCCAATATAGGGAAAATTTAAAATTTTGGGTTAAAAAAGGGGGTGGTAAAAAAACCCTTTAAATATAGACCTACGGGCTAAATAGTTTTTTTTTTCCTGCGGGAAAAAAATTCCAAAACTGTTTTAAAATCTCAAAAAATAAAAAACTTGGTCTATTTTGGGGGACCCGGGAAAATCCCCCCTTTTTTATTAACCCCCTTCTTTCTCTTTCCAACATTAATTTTGGGAAAATTTCTTAATTTCTGTTCACCCCTTTTTTGGGGTTTTTTGGCTTTTGCCCCCCCAAGCCCCCTTTAGCTTTTTTAAACCAGTTTAAATTTTTAAACATTTTTGATCTTGAAAAAACAAAACAAAACATTTATCGTACTTTTAATCATTGCCTTCATATATTTCATTTTTTTATAAACTTTTTTGTTGCCTTTAGCTTGCAATGTCCTCTTTTTTGTTATGCTAGAAACTTTTAAATTTTCCCCCCTGATAAAGGTAATGCGGGTTTTGCCCTTAAATCCCCAAGGACAAACTCCCTTTGGGTGGGGGGCCCAAATTTTTGTTTACGGGTTTTCGCTCTTTAT